GGGGTGGTGTTGTTTGTATTTATTAGGCAATTAAGGGAATTGGTTAGTAAGTTTATAGCGTATGAAAAACTAACACATATCTTGGCTCCTGTTTGTTATTTCAGCTCAATGATGAGCTGTTGAGGGTCGAGGAGAAGCTCAAGTTGGCTGAGTCTTTTGTAGAAAGCAAAGTACTACATGGAACTTCTCTATTGAATTACTTTAAATCCTCTTCTCTCCCAAAAGTTGCATTTGATTGGAAAAACCTTTGCTGTTTCTGGACAGAACCTTGAAATTAAGAAAATAAATGATGAAAAGAAGGCTTCGATGGCAGCACAGTTTGCTGCAGAAGCCACTCTCAGGAGGGTTCATGCTGCTCAAAGGGATGATGATATGCCTCCAATTGAAGCAATTCTTGCACCTTTGGAGGCGGAACTCAAGTTGGCTCGGCAGGAGGTTAGTGACTTAGTGTTGTGTTTTGTCAAAAACACATTCTTATTAATTAGTTTGGCTTTTATTCTGCCCAGATTGCAAAGCTTCAAGAAGATAACAAGGCATTGGACCGGCTCACCAAATCAAAGGAGGCAGCTTTACTTGAAGCTGAGAGAACAGTTCAGTCAGCACTAGCAAAAGCTTCTATGGTGGATATTCTCCAGAACAAGAACCAAGAATTGATGAAACAGATAGAAATTTGCCAGGTAGCATGTCAGAATGTTGGCATGCTTTCGGAAACCCTACAGCTTTTGCAATTTTCTGATTTCAACTTTTAACCATAATTATCTCAGGAAGAGAACAAAATTTTGGATAAAATGCACCGTCAAAAGGTTGGGGAGGTTGAAAAGCTTACCCAAACTGTACGTGAGCTTGAGGAAGCTGTTCTTGCCGGTGGTGCAGCTGCAAATGCTGTTAGAGATTACCAACGCAAAGTGCAAGAGTTGAATGTAATGTGGCTGTTATCACACCTGCAAGCACACACATCATGAAATGTCCTAAATCTTTAAAATGTTCTCTTGGTTTCCAGGAAGAGAGAAAAACACTTGACCGGGAGCTGGCTCGTGCCAAGGTAACCGCAAACAGAGTAGCAACTGTAGTTGCTAATGAATGGAAAGATTCTAATGATAAAGTAATGCCTGTAAAGCAGTGGCTTGAAGAGAGAAGGTTCTTACAGGTTAGTTATTGATCACTCTCAAGGAGTTCAACATCTGATTATGTTTTTGTCTTGGTTTATGAGTTTGTCTCATTGCCTGTGATGGGTCAATTCTTTATCTGGGATCTGTAATTGTAACAGGTAGAAATGCAACAATTGCGGGATAAGCTAGCAATTTCTGAACGAGCTGCAAAATCAGAAGCCCAGTTAAAAGTAACAATTCAAGACTACAAATGGCATGTTTGACTTGTGTCTCCTTATCTATATATGTCCCTAACCTGGATTTTGTTACTGTTGCCATAGGAAAGATATCACCTAAGACTTAAGGTCTTGGAAGAAACTATAAGATCATCTAGCACCAATGTTCGCAGCACCCCAGATGGAAGATGTTCATCAAATAATGGTCCTTCACGACGGCAATCATTAGGTGGTGTTGAAACTGTTTCAAAATTGACCCTATCTGGAATTTTACCCAAGAGATCACCGTCCTTTCAGTATAGATCCTCTTCTGCTGGGACCTGTACTGTGTTGAAGAATGCAAAAGGGACATCAAAGTCATTTGATGGTGGCTCAAGGTCATCTAACAGCGGCAAAAACCTTCTTAATTGCATTGGTCCAAATTTCAAGCAAAGCCAGTCATGTGATGGGGCCAAGGATAGTGAGGCTCAAAATAATAAGACCTTGAAAGTAAATCAAGACGAAAAACCTGATGACTCGCGACTCGCAGAAACAGAGGATACTGTGCCAGGAGTATTGTATGATGTACTTCAGAAGGAAGTGATTTCATTGAGGAGAGCTGGTCATGAAAAGGATCAAAGTCTTAAAGACAAGGATGATGCTATAGAGGTTAGGTGTCCTACTCAGCTACATTAAAGATTCATTGTGTAAATACGTAATTTTACTTTATTCTATTGTTTTCAGATGTTAGCTAAGAAAGTTGACACCCTTACAAAAGCAATGGAAGTTGAGGCTAAAAAAATGAGAAGGGAGGTTGCTGCCATGGAAAAGGAGGTGGCTGCAATGCGGGTTGAGAAGGAGCACGAGAATAGGACAAAGCAGTTTGGAAACTCCAAGGGTCTTGTCAACAGTTCTCAGCTTCTTCCTGGAAGGTATACATTCTCTTGATGTTAAAGGTTACCATCACTTTGAAGATGATAATAACTTCAATGTCTTTGTTTATAACCAATGCTTTGACAATACATTATAAAGTCCTAAGCTACTACTCGTAACAAGGTGGTCTTTTAGGATGAAAGCTCGAGTCTTAATAAGTTATCAACCTTAATTCCTGCTAGATCTATTTAGTAAGCATCACATGAATACCTTCACATACAAATGAGCTCCTTGGACAAATCTTTAAACAGTCGTGCGTCTCCGAACACCTTATTCTAATTATATACATTTTTTGCATTCATATTCGTAGGGCTGTAGCAAGAGGTGGAGTAACACGCAGCATGCAATAGTAGTAAAGGTATTCTGTAGTACTGTTGTCGTAAGAAGTAATTCTGCACATACCACTCTGAATTCCTTATTCTATTTATCCTATTTTACCCTTTGTATTGTTTAATTATAAAAATGACACCGGCGTGAAAAACGACTTTGGTCCCTCTGCACTAGTCGGAACACAGAAATTTTAGGAAAGCGGAGGAAACCAATTTGGTGTATTTCCAAGTATACAGACCACCGATAGGTATCCTGTCCGTGGTTGTGGCAGCATGAAATTTCGTTGTATGGGAAGAGAACCCGATTAGGGAATGTTAATTATGCTTCTGACTTAGATTGAGTGATCCATCTTCTTAGAAATTGGGAAGAAATAAACCATCAAGATTGAGCCAACTCTTTTGGCAGAATGAAATCAGAGGCAGTGAGTGTGAGGCTGTATAGATATGGTTTGATATCATTTACATGTTTGCAGTCTGTATTTGCCATAGATACAATGTAAGCTGGTGTGATATATTAACCATTCCAATTTGCATTACAGTGAGGGACTTGCATATAGTCTTTTGATTTCAAGATTTCGTGCAAGAGATTTAAGAATTCAAGTGTTCTGTTGCATTTTTCAGGTTCCATTCTTTTTTGTAGGGATTGTTGTATTCTTTTTTATTTTCTTCATTTTTATTCATTAATTAGATCTTATTTGGCTTCTTTCCCCTCACCCCACATTCAAAAACTAAGTGTGTTGCGATATATTCACTCTGGTCTTAAATACCTTTCATGTTTTGACTTTTTTCGTCAAACAGTGACACCCTTTTGATTATAAATTAAAAGAAAAGTATATTTAATTGTAATGTATAATTGGTTTCATCTTTAGATATAGTTTTGATATATCAAATTTTTTATCTTGATTATTTATTTAGATTTTAGTTAATTTGTGGTCAAAGACTCCCACTTTTTGACCAAAAAAGTGGTCAAACAGTTGTCATGGTTTTTTTATGTGATAACACATTATTGTGAACTTGTCATGGTTTTTTTAGGTTGATGTGCATGTCATTCCAGGACATTTGTTAAAATGATACTCAAAATCCGAACCTTTCCTGCCTTAACCTAGCACATATTCAAGGACTTATACGTAGTATAACAAATAAAATTAAAAGTCATCATTGGGGCAAAATCCGAACCTTGCCGAGAATAATATTGAAGAAATCACTAGTAACATATAGATAAAATACCAAAATAGAAGTTTTATATTCTTACTTCCTAAATTTAAGTTCGCACTGGGGTAATGCGGCATTGTACATGTCTGTATTATTATTCATTTTGATAGATTGGTAATATAAATGTATTTTAACTCATATTTCAAAAATAAAAACATGAAACTCTTATTTTAGTATATTTTAATATTTTACTACTGCTTTAGTCGTTATTCCATAATATCGTATGAGTAGCAGTTATGGAGTAATATATTTTTAAACTGATCAAGACCTTGTTTGGAAATAACATTTTGATTAGTGTTGGCATTTTGATAAAAAATTTATGGTGTTGATTGATTTGGAAAACATTAATACTAAAGACTATCGTCAGATATCCTTTTCAAAATACTAACGCTAACTTCTCTTGCTAATGCCAAACGGGAATAAGTTTGTACTATTTGCTAGTATTTTATTGGATTTGGACCAACAAGAACACGATTATGCATACATAACAATGCATATTGATGGTATTTGTAAACCTGTTTTTGGATCTCCACTTCATAGAAACACCAGTTTTTACCCTGTGCTTCGCATACTTTTGTATACAATATATCTAAAATTTTTTATCATATTAAAAAATAAAACTAAAATTAAATAAATAAGTGAATTATTATTAAAGGTGTTCTATCACATTGTCTATTGATGGAATACAAAAATATTATACATGCATGTACATATGAGGCCGGGTAATACATTAACTACTTGTGAATAACTTGGCATTTCATTTTTGGAGATATCATGCATGGTATGCATGGGGAGGATGTGTTTATTAATTTTGTCTATGACTCTTATTATTTTACACTTGACTAATCAAATTTATAATTTTGAAAGAAAACTTTATTTAATATTTTAAAGGAAAAGTTTGAATTTTTAATAGAAATTTTAGACAATTTATACATTGAGATCTTAATCTTAATAATCTACACTCAAATTTATTACACTTATTTAATTATTATTTTATAAAAATATTTTTAATGTCATTAATTTTAATATATTTGGCATTCACATAATCATTCATGCAATTTCACATATAAAGTGTTGTATAATTATATATTTCAACAAGAGAATACTCGACCTTTACACACACGCGCGTACGCGCGCGCGCGCAC